ATCCATGTATATGAAGGGCTGACATCATCATCATTATTATCATTATCATTATTATTATTATGGACCCTTGGTATCCATTGGGGATGCTCATGTCCCATTAATTACAATGGATGATGATGGTGATGATTAGCCCTTGGTATCGCCTGAGGTTTGGTTCCAGGAACCACCATGGATACCAAAATCCATGGATGTTCAAGTCCCATTGAATACAATGGCATAGTACAATGGTGTCCCTTAATTAAAATGGCAAAATCAAGGTTTGCTTTTTTGGAATGTATATATTTTTTGAACATTTTCAAGCCGTGGATGCTTGGATCCGTGGATACAGAGGGCCAACTGCACCTCTCTCAAGCCCTGAATAGGGCATTTGTAGGAAAACCACAACCCAAGTCCACCACACACACACACACCCATCCAGGGCAAAAATGAGGATGATTTCCTGCAGGTTTTTCTTGTTTTTAGAAAGCTTTAGGAACTGCGTTTCCTTTTCTTTTGCAACTCCAACTAAGTCTCCCTCTCCCGCTACTTCCGGTTCCTGTTTTTTCCTCTCTTTTTTTGCAGCCTGCAGTTGTTATCAGGACAGAAATGTGTATTTCGTGTGCCGGTGTGACACTACAGCGGCCAAAACTGTGTCTCGTTTTTGCACCTGTCAAGATCGAGATATATTGCAAAAAAAGCAAACCTTGATTTGCGCCATTTTATAGAAGGGACACCATTTTGTTATGCCACTGTATATGACGGTGTTTGAGCATCCCATGGATTTTGGTATCCAAACCCCAAGATCGGTTTCCAAATTCAAAGTGATCTGGATGGATTCTAGTCTGAGCAAAGCCTCTTCTGATTTGCTCAGACCTTTTAAGTACCTAACCTTGGAAAGTTTTCTTTTTGGAAAGTTTTATATTGCAAATTTAGATCTTTGGTCCAAAACACACTGCAGAAATAATCCAGTTTGAGACTAGCTTAACTACCCTGGCTCAGTGTTAGGGAATTGTAGTTTATTGTGGCACCAGAGCTCTCTCTGATAGGGGAGGCTAAATGTCTCCCAAAACTACAGTTCCCAGGATTCCCTAGCATTGAGCCAGGACAGTTAAAGTGGCTTCAAACTGGATTATTTCTGCAGTCTGTTTTGGACCTTTCTGGAATATTTTCAAGCCGAGGATGGTTGAATCCGAATCCATGGAAATAGATGGCCGACCGTCCTGGAAGCTCAAGATATGAGCAGACTTTTAAAATCTTCTTTTATGCTATTTTACTAGAATTTTATACTAATGATATGATCATTGCACAGACTTTACTTACAGTTCAAGAAAGACAATGACAAACTGGAATGTGAAACAGAAATTAGAAAACCTAAATCCTGGCACTTCCCATTTGCTTACGTTAGGAAACTGAAACGGCCAACTTTCTATTTTCTTTGGGTTATTTTTCCCCATGCCAGTGCATGGCATTTGGAGGCAGAATTGCCCCTTCAAGTTTACTAATATATATATATATATATTCCCCCACTGTGCAATATCTCTGTGTTGTATTAAAACACAGGCTCTGTGTTTGTGTGAGACTGATAAAAAATGGTACATGCAGACATGTGAAAAAAGTAAAGACAACCAAGATATTGAACAAAGAACAGCAGCTGGAATCAGAATTAAATCTCATTTTTAAAAATAGCCCAAATCATAGGGAGGTGGAAGAAGTCCCACTACGTAACAAAACTATTTCGCAATTGCTGAGACCAACACAGAGAGTCATTCAAAACAAACAAAAATACAGAGTGTAAAGTAGGATGAATCGCCAGAATACACCAGATCCTGTCTGATCTTGGAAGCTAAGCAGGGTCAGCCCCGGTTAGTCCTTGGATGGGAGACCGCCAGCGAATCCCAGGTGCTGGAGGCTCTATTTCAGAGGAAGGAAGTGGCAAAACCACCTCTGAGAATTCCTTGCCAAGAAAACCCTGTAAAATTCATGGGGTCACCCCATGTCAGTGGTAGAATTCAAAGATATAGCCGCGTTAGTCTGTAGAATCAAGATCTTGCAGCACCTTTTGAGATGCACTGAAAGAAAGAAGCTGGCAGCATGGATTTTCCTAGACTTAAGTCTACTTTCTCAGATGCATCTGAGGAAGTAGACTTTAGTTTAGGAAAGCTCATGCTGCCAACTTCTTTATTTAAGTGAATCTCAAAGGTGCTGCAAGATCTCTCTACATATGTCAATGGGCAATTAATTTGAAGGCACACAGCAGACACAGGGCATGAGATGCCATCGAATCATGGAAGTGAAGCAGGGTCAGCTCTGGTTAGTACTTGAATGGGAAACCGTCAATGAATACCAGGTACAGTACATCAATCTGTGTTTTGGGGGAAGGACCACCTCTGAGGATTCCTTGCCTAAGAAAACCCTCCAAAATTCATAAGTCGAGAGGAGACTTGAAGGAACATAGACGCAAGGCACCAGATCCCATCTGGTCCTGGATGCTAAGGAGGGTCAGCCCTGGTTAGGGCTTGGATGGGAGACCGCCAACGAGTACCAGGTACTGTAAGTCATACTCAAAAGGAAATAGCTCCGCCACCTCTGAGGATCCCTTGCCTAAGAAAACCCTACAAAATTCACCATAAGTCAGCAAGCAATTTGAAGGTATATGCATGCACACACCATTTCCATTTGGATTGGGGTCAGAATCGGTCCAAACCGGATCAGAGC